CCAATCTAACAGTAGAAATGAATTTGGGACTAAGGATTACAAAACCATTAGAATTTCAAATTCAATAACATAAGCAATAATAGTTACATACATAAAATAATATGAATTACAAACAATATTTCCAATTCAAAGTAGAAAAACGTAAATATATAAGTATAGTATACTGAAAAAAGAGAAATCCTTATGATTAAATTGTAACGACAGAAATGATCCACACAAAAATTATATAAATCACAAATACCGTAGAACAACATAATTTACATATACTTACACATAAAAAAGGCCACCAAAACATCATGATTCCTTACAAAAGAACGAAAATATTTTATTGACATTGTTCAATTGAAATCTATTACAATTACCATCACAAATTGTACAACGAATCATTGCAAAAGGAACTCAAAAAAACAACACCATCTACAAGCAATATGGTTGACGTAAGTTTTACTAACATCGTCATATTTTGCTAATCTGTTGATTTCATTATTTTGTTGATCATATAGAAAATGGTATTGAGACTCCCAACAATTGAAATGGGTTATGCCGAATCACTTGTGTCTTTAGTTCTTAATGCTTTTCTAATACAGAAAAATCAAAATGCGTGTTAGAATCGATATTTAACTTAATCGTATTTTGCACACTTTTTTATTGTTAATTCCTTAATCATACAGGTAATAATATTATGATTGCCAACTGTTGAAACGAGTTGTGCTAAACCATTTTTTTATTATTATTATTATTGCAGATCTTGTGTTTTGAAACCATTATTTACCTTACAATTTATAGGTGCAAATTTCTAAACAAGCAAACAAACGTAAAGAAAGTCTTACATAGAAGAAATATCTTCAAACAACGACACAAACTGCCAACAATAACAATAGTAGTACTTTCATTCTAAAGATCCTTGCAGAGGCAGAAAATAAACATGCTTTGCTACTGCTTGAAACACATTTGTTCTTCGTGAAACATGATAGAGATACAGGATTACAACTACTTATTGTAGCTTGCAAACAAGATGACATGCAAGCAATGTATTAGATCGTCATTGCTCTACTCACTATTTATGACAATAAAGGTATAAAAATTCTAATGAAATTGGTAAAACTATCCAATCATTTCCACAGACTGAAAAATTGCAGGGAAGTATTCAAGTCCATGACTCCAACTGCGACAATTCTTATTAAAAGAATAATATTTCGGACTTGTGACAAGGAGAATCAAAATCATATACACTGGGACAGATCGACGTCGCTAGAAAATATCACATGTCCAAAATGTATTGTAGATTACCAGATAGTATGTATTAAATTCAATTTTTAGCAAGTTTCTTATGTAATTTCTTACACATGTAAAAATTTAAATTCTTTTTAATTTAATCAGAAAATAAAAATTAAAACTCATTGGATTGTCTATAATTAATCCAAATATTTAATAACTTATAAAAAAAAAATTAATTACAATGATCAATAAAACATGAATAATATTTAATTAGAATGTTAAACAACAATAATTATGAGAATGTCAAAGAATTAAACATGTTCGACAAACATCAATCTAAATATATTATAATCTAAATTAACAAAATCTATAAATAATCGTTCCTATGACATATCTAAAAAAGATTCCATTCCATTATTAATCAAATTAAATCCCACGATAAACCATAACATGTTTTGAAAACCCCCTTGCCAAACCATTGTTGACTATTTATTACGCTTTTCTTTAATGTAGTGCAAACAGTTTGCTACCATTTTGAATCCCCTTATCCAAAAAGTTGTTAACACTTTTTCAATCAACATGTTTATTTGTTACTAGATGTCTATTCATTTTCCTAGAGCAACTTTTATATTGTTTGATATAGTATTGTAGAAATTGGTTGGGTTATCATGCTCTCAATTGCTGAACAAACAAGGCAATGATCAGAAAATAATCCCAAAAACTTTGAATGAACTGTATGGATAGACGTTCGTTTCCAAAATCAATATGAGGATTATGGATATGAAGGAAGCATCCGAATCTTATACTGAGACAAAAATTTTCGTACAAAAGATTAGTTCCAATGTATTCTTATTATCCTTTCTATTAAACTTGCGCCAAAAAGATTTTATTCTTCTTAAATCGCTGTGTTTATTTATTATAAAATCTCTATTCACATTCTGTCTGTTTGTTTCCTACTCCTATTTAGATAAAACAAATCAATATACATTCTGATGTGAATTAACAAAATTTTAATTACAAGACTAAATTGCTCGATAAAACATAAATAATATTTAATATTTTAATAGATATTTAATAACAATGTTAGACAAAAGTGTTTATGAAAATGTTAGGGTCAGCTTGCCTTGTCCGAGTATTACCAGCCGCTTTCCTTTAGCCGAAGTTCATCCCTGGGTTTATGGCAACCTCAATCAGAATGTGACGGCTTGACTCATCTCTACTCCTGGGGCCCACTCGACTAGGAGAAAGAGCCTCGTGGATTTGGTGCCCTTATCAATGTTGAATTGAGAAAGAAATGTGAAGGGTGATTAAGGTTCGAGAGCATAGATGGCTCCTGCCGAAGAATCCATCGATCCCCAAACCCTCGTTCTTGGAAAGTGGTCGTCTTGCTTCAGAAGCAATTGTTTAGATCTATCCATCATTGGGTGGGAACGGCCCCACTAGCTTATTACAAATTTAAAAAAAATTCCGTAGCATTATTGATTAAACAAGACCAAGCTGAATCATATAAATGTTTTATAACCATGTTGTCAAACCACAATTAACTGATTAACTAATATATTATGACATCATCATGACATCTCTGGCTTGGATATTTAACAAAATATTTATTGCCCTTCCTTTAAAACTGTATCAATAAATTTTATTATTATTAAATCACCGAGTTTATTTATTATAATATCTCAATTCATATTCCAACTGTCTGTTTCCTATTCGCATAAGAATATATATTATAAGAATGTCAAAGAATTAAACACGTTCAGCAAACATCAGTCTAAATATAGTATAACCTAGATTCATTCCTATGACATATTTAAAAAAACTTCCTCTCCATCATTAATTAAATAAAATCAAACGCCGAATCATATAAGTTTTTTAAAAACCATCTTGTTGAACCATTATTAGGTACCTAACTGATAGATTATAATATCATCATGACGTTTCTCTCTTGCATACTTAACAAAATGTTTATTACGTTTTCCTTTAATATTGTGTGAATAGTCTACTAACATTTCGTATCCCTTTATCCAAAGAGTTATTAACACTTTTTCAATTGACATGATTATTTATTACCAGTTGTCTATTCAGTTTCCACCTCTTTGTATCTTATTCTCCTATAAATATTACACTGACATCAATCACTCATTTAAATTTCTTCAAATATTATACACCTTCATTATTCATTTCTTCTCCCCAAGTTAATTTGACAATGGCTGACAAAACATCACAACCAAAAGAATCTACAATGAATATCAGTAGCAACCTCAAAAACAATAATTCTCCACCAAAGCAACCAGAAGGTATGAATGTTCCACTTCCTTTGTATCCTAAATTACAAAATGTCAAACAAAACGGTAATACATATTTGTAGGATTATAAAAATCATAAAAAAAAAAAAAAAAAACCCTTTTTTGGTTTGTTGAAAGTTCGTTTCATAATTATATTTACAAATTCATATTACCGTTTTCATATATTTATAAAATTTGATTGTATTTTGTTTCCCCAATTGATTTAGATATTGTTCAAGGAATGCCAGAATTGACGGAAATTCTCAAAAAAGTTGACACCAATTTAGATGATTTACATGCTAATAAATAGAAATTCAAAGAAGTCATTGACCAAATGTTAGAAATCATGCAATCTACCATGGATATTATCTATAACATAAACAAAAGGGAGTATGGATTTGTAGTAGAGGAACTGAACAACTATAAGAGAAATAGAAAATAAACACCATTGACATCATCCAAACCTACTTCACTGTGTGAAAAATTGATGTACTTATTTCTTTTATAATAAAAGTATTATTATCTATGTTCAACTTTATCTTGATCTCAACGTTACTCATTAGTTGATTAAAATTTAGTACTCATTTTGTGGGTGTACAATTGTTCCTTGAATTAACACATTGGATTTACGGTTTAATGGATCTACTAAATTTCTCCATCTTGACATGTTGATTTTGAATTAATTTCTCTATCTTCACACATTGGATGAGTATTAATAATAATTATATAAGTGCATTGCATTGGCATTCCAAAAGTCTAACCATTTTGACACGTTGGATGTGTATTAATAACGATTATACATAAGTGTGTTCAAAAATCTAATCAAAAACATATAAAAATTTGAGTTAGTCTCTTCATATTCTGTTTTGTAGTTCTACAATTACTCCATTTTAACAAGTTGGATGAATGGTTTAATGACATCTACCTATAATTGATATTAATAATTATATAAGTACAATTATTAATTTTATCTTAACACAAACTTTATATATACAATTTCTATTTACTTTAAAATTTGTATTATTTAACAATTATTATATCTTAGTCTAATTAGTTTCTTTTGTTATAATAAATTTGTTTACAATCTCTTTCAAAAGCATTGAATATAATAAATTTGTTTACAATCTATTTCAAAAACATTGAATAAACATATCCACTCAACGGCCATGTCCCATGTCTAGTTTACTAAATATTTACAAAAACATACTTAAAAAGACAGTGGGGGACTGGTGTTATTATTCGGTCTCTGTTTGTCCCATTTTTTCAATTGGCTTACCTAAATTGACTATATATAAAACAGTTTTCTAATAATTAAGAGGAACATGCACTATATTTCATTAAGCGAAACTTAAAGAAAAAAGATACATTATTCTTAAAGAAAGACCACAACATATATAGGTCTCATAATTCTCCCAAGATGGAAGAACATATGTAATTTATGTCATTAAGAAAACCGAACACCCGTTACTAAACATAGCGTCTTCATTACATGCATTAGCAATTCTTGGTGCAAAAACAACGTCTACGTACTCCTTGAGTTTTGCATCTGCCACCGGAGAACCTACCTTCATTCCTGCACACTGAAGCGCAGTTGTGGCTGCTCAAGCATGTTCCATGAAACAAATGGCTTTGTGATTCACATAGCCTACTTTCTGTTGGCACCACCATCACTTCTGTAAATTAAAAAAATTAAACATTTACAATTAAGAATTCTTCTCACGTTACAAACCCAAGAATATATAAAAAAGAAGTACTTGAGAGAGAATTACCAGATGCCAAGACAATAAGCAGCAACAAGGAAAGCCCAAATGATTTCTTCTCCATTTCTCTCACTTTTAACCTAATTTCTATAATTCACTCAGAAATTTGTACAATAAATATAAAATTTAAGCTTGCAGTGAGCCAGTGATTTGATATATATACAGAATTATATGATGTTGATCACCGGCACTGAGGGAGTGCATGCATGTCCAGGGCACCCATATATTTGACACGAGAGCTGTTCACGTCATAATTTACTTTGTTTTTTCCTTTCTAAATACATAAATAAATGCCTAAAAATGCCGACAATTACTGATTTGTTTCCAACAGGTGGACGTTCCTGAGCACCTTATTGACAAATGGAGGTAGCAACTTATTCTGGTCGACAAATGGAAAGGCATCAAAGTTCCCAACTTTTTTATGGGCTGATGCTTGTAAATGCAACACCTAATTTTACCTCACTAAATTCTAATACAAAATCGTGTAATAGCACAGAGTAAGTAAGGGTCTTTCCCACAAAGGATTTGTGAACTTAATTAATTATCTACTTCTAACGGGGTTTGTCACGAATTATCAACCACAAACTAAAAAGAACTCAAAGCAAACAATGTAAATCAAGCAATTAATGATGATAGAGAAATCAATAAGAGAAACTGGATTGATGGTTTATTCGCCACCACTAGACATGAATTACATAAAATAAAAGCACTCTTTAACTTTCTACCCTCTTAATCACATCAGCTTAGAAAATATCAAACGTTGATAAGTTATATCTCTCCTTACTGAGTCGTTGGATTAGACACGGTCATAACCCAATTCCCTATTTATTAGATAACCTAGGATATGATCTCTAGATTTAAAGTAATAAAAGCATTAAGTTGCGAGAGACCTACTGAATCAAGGCTAAACTCGTATGGTCGGTTTAGTTATCTTGAGTGATTAAACCCCATGTATGCAGGCATACACTTTACCACTAATTATTTAGGTTAATAAAGCAATTCCGTACTAAACAACCTAAATTGCCATTAATAGATTAATCGTAACGATTTAATTGGCCACTTAAACAATTAGAAAAATCTAGTTAGACCCTATTTTCAGAGAAATAATCACATAACCAAAAGGGATCAAAAGATAAAAATATGCTGATTTTATTAATCACAAGACATATCTAGGGTTTTGAAATCACCCTCAATCACAAAAGAATTAGTTCTTCATGAATAAATATGAGAACATCATTGTATTATTCATAACAAATAATAATAACAAAGAAGAAGAAAAACTTAGTGAAACTTGGTTGGATTAATGAAGTTGATGATGTCTCCTCCAATTCTTCTCCTCGAAGCCTTCTTTAGTCTCCCTTTTTCTTTTGTTCTTGAATAATCTTTGTTCTCTCTTTTTTTATCTCTAAAAGAATTTCCCAAAATAATGCTAAAAGACTTCTATTTATATCCCACAAGAGTTAGGGTTTTGTTTTCCTTAATTCTAGTTAGTTTAGGACTCTTAAAACCCTATTTTCCTAATCAAAAACGGAAGAAAATTCCCCAGCTGTCGTGATTGTGCCGTGGCACTGTGCTATGGCACAGTAGCTACTGGAGAAAGTGTGCCGCGGCACAGTAGCTACAGGTCTTCTTCCCGCATCATTCTACTGTTCTTCATAGATGGTGATTTTTGAACTTGATAACGATGAAATTTGGAAAAGTGGTAAACATATGAAATGTAGCCCTTTGAATCCGCTTTCCAACTGTCCAATAATAGTCTTAATCAGAGTTCTACAGCTTAAGATATTTTCAAAATACCGAGGCATACTTAAGCTGGAACGTAATCTAGAATCTTCTCTTCACTTCAACTTTCATAACTTCTTCAATTCAACTCCGATTCTCGATCCGTTTATTTCCAGCCGTCACAAATTCTCTCGCCAACATCATCTCTCATCCGAATATTATTTTTGAGCCTTATTCCCTGAAAACACAACAAAAATACCCGTGATCTCGAAAAGTGCGTTTATGAAACAATTAAGTTAATTCATGCGAATTAATCCTAATTTCCAACAAATAATACCTATAAACCACTAAGTATAAGTGTATTTTCAAGCACTTATCATGGACATTACCTTCAGCCTTCAAGAATGCAGATTTTGATGATTACTGAGTAGTGAAAACAAATAGAACTGAAATTCAATAAAACTGATGGTTTATATTCACCATTGACCCCATTTCCTTTCACGCTGGTAGATATGACCATTTCTCTTAATTCTTAAAAATTATAGTTTCATTCAATGAGTTAATTGTAAAAAAGATTACTATTGTTTTATGTTTTTAGTTTTTTTCTGTTTCTACACTCACTCATGACATTGCTACCTAGAAATTATTTTTTCCAAACCTACCGTTTGGTTAATAAAGAAAGATTTATTAAGGTAATATATATAATGTAAAAGGAGAAAAGATAAATAACCAACAATAGGTTGGCCGAGTAGTAAAGGCTTGGAGTCAAAGGGTTTGCTTTCTATGTGGTCTCAAGTTTGAATTATAAAAATGATTGTTAATATTGTTGGCCACGGACCGCACGGTTTGACCTGTTTCAAAAGCCTTGTTTGGGGTCGGGGAACTAATCAAGATGTGCATAAGTTGGCCCGGACACCCCCGGTAGCAAAAAAAAAAAAAAAAAAAGGTCAATGTGCATAAGGAGAAACGATTATAAAGTTTGAATAGGATCCTACTTCTCTCAAGTAATTGAAAACTTTTTTACCCCTCAAATCATAGTATTTTATACCTCAAATTTTGTCTAGCCTTTAAACTAAGTAAAGATCAATGTCATGAATGTGGTCACACAAAAAGGTGGACATTAAAAGGTAAATTTAGTAATCATAACAAGGAATAATAATGTGTTTTAGGGTGTTTTTGGTACACCGATGTGGATTGTATTGTGTTGATTGTATTTTATTGTACTAAATTATGTTATTTGGGACATGACCAAAATTGTACAGTGTTTGTTATAGCGCCACAGAGGATTATTGGTAATTTGCATTATGTATTGTATAAGACTGCATTAGATTGTGCTATTTTTTTTTTCATAATTAATTCCAATATACTAAAATTCATCATCATCCTGGTAAATTTCTATAAAATAATTTAATAAGTAATATTTTAATTCAAATTCATGTCCATCATATATTTTATCATGAACGTATAACATGCAATATCGTCAAAATTATGTTTTTTTTTTTTTTTTCTTCAAAAGAACAAATCTTCATTTATAACAATAAATCAACCCAAAAAAATTATTTAAATTTATTATTGATATTTATCTAATAAAATATCAGCATCAAATTTATGTGAACTATAATAAAGACTATAACCCATTTACAACTCATTGTTTGTGTTTCTAAACTTGAATGGATAACTCATAGTCATAACACAATAATTTAGTACTTAGATATCTTTTACATATAATTTAAATTGTAAAGATACTCACAATTAAGCTCACACATTATCAATTTATCCTATCATACAGTATATCAAATTTGGGTTAGACAATATTAACTTAATTATGTGACTTAAAATGGTGACTTAAATTTTCAACATTTGGTCTAAAATAATTAACGATTGGTGAATGAGAAATCATAAGTAGTTATTTTATGTGCTACTTCATCACCTTTTAAATCGTTAGATTATGATTTTTTAACCGCCATTGATTAGTGTCTCAAATTAAGCCAAAATTTTAAATTATTATAGTTTGACCCATTAAATTTACACATGTCATATTATCAGTTTAAATTTACATAATTCTGCCATACAGCATCAATATTACAATTATCCTTTCATGTAGAGCATAAAGTTAATTAACAACATTCCAACCACAAAATTTTAAAAAATAGAAGTAATTAGGGGTGTTAGTTGAGCCGAGCCACTCACAACTCAATGAAAGCTCGAGTTGAGCTGCTTGGATACAATGTCGAGCCGAGTTCGATCTCGCCAATACTCGCCTCGACAAGCTCGAATCTCAAAATAGGGGTATATGCTATTATTACAACTATTTGGGGGTGTTTGGTAGGGAGTTATCCCTCATTACTCAAGTAATGTCATCTTATATTATTTAGATTACCACATTTGATTGTCCAGTAATATAAAATCTCGGTAATCTTCCAAAACCGATAGTAATTACTATTGGTTATATAAGTGGTAATCTGATTACCTACATTTTCTTAGGTATTTTAAGATCACTTAGTAATATTAATTTTGTTACAATTTTACCCCTTATAATAAATTTCTTCGACAATAATGACCTTATTTTGAAATTACTTTACATGAACTTGCCATTACAATTTTACCCCTAATTAATTAAGTTTTTGGATAGTAATGCCCTTGTATTTAAAAGAAATTGCAAGCCACCCAAGGCCAACGTGGCCAAAACGGCGCATAATTGGCCGGATCTAGCCATTCATGCATCGATCTGGCCGAAAACGGCCAGATCTATGACCAAAGATTTGGCTGTTGATAGCCAGAGCTACGACCATAATTGATAGAGTTGAATTTATATATTTTTTTAATTCCTTCCATATTATGTTTTTTGTTATGTTTTATGCCTATTTGAGTTGATTAGAGTTTATTTTATGAGTTTGGCATAATTGGATAGACTTTAGGAAATAAATAATAAAAGATTAGGAAATTCCAGATTTTTGGTTATTCTGACCAGTGCTAGGTTTTTCAGGTTTTTCATAGAGTCAGATTTCTTGATTGCAAAAATGTTCTTCAGAAAAAATAAAGTTAACGAATCAAGCTTTCCAGAAGGTATTATGGGCTAGAATCCAAGTTCGTTTAAGCCTTCATCAGTTGTTGCAAAACCAGACCTGGAATCCTAGTCGCGGAAGGATTTCCTGGCTGAGTATTGAATCTTCAAACGGGCCTAATTGGAGCGTCAGATATCGAAAGTGGGTGATTCAAAAGCCCAGATTCATCGAAACATCCGGGACTACAATTTTTATGAAGTGACCGAGCCTAGAAAAGATCTTTTACATTGCGAGAATCCTGGTGCAAGCTGGAGACAAATTTTGTTTTCCATATCTGATAAGATTTTGACAAATCTGGAAGTCTATCTTTTAGGAAACGTCTAGGAAAGATTTTCTGTGATTCCTGGGGTAGAATTAGGAGAAAAACATGTTATTTATAGGGGAGTGTTAGGTTAACCAGGGGAGAGATGGCAGTGGAGTTTTGCTTTTCAGTTTTTTACTTTCTAAGTCAAGATGTGCGGCTGATTTCTCTTCGTCAGTTCAAGGGGATTTTGAAGCCTAAATTCATGTCATTGGTGTAACTTAACTTTAGTAACATTTTTCTTAATCTCGTTTTTATTGGAATTGTTTATGTTATTCTGTTTTAATTGTTTATGATTCTTGTTTGAGTGATTTAGTTTTAACCTGCTAAATTGTTTAATCAGAATTTTACCTGTTAGAATTAGGAATTGTGATACGTAATCATCCTTTTTCTAGCCAATGAGTAACATATGATGATAGATGATTATGGACAAGTTTTCATTCTGTCATCTTGAATAACATAACCTAAGTTAAATAATCCGAGCTTGCGAGATTGTTGCTTAGATTGTTCTATTTTCCTTATTCTTAAGGCTTCCATTGAATTAAACTTAGAGAGCTTATTCTAGGTTGTTCAAGGGTTGGGATCTACTTGGAGAGCTTATTTCAGTAGTGACAATTAAGGAAAAATTTGGGTAACAGAGCTTGTTGTTTCCTAGGGTCAGTTGTTCCATAATAACGAGATAGAATAGCGTTACGGTTAGTTCATGTCCAATGCATGCTTAGGTGGATCTTGAAACGAGAACTTATTGCTTTTAACCTGATATTTTCTACCATTAGAGATTTCTTTGTTTTATTTAGTTTGCCTTGACTACAACCCCCTTTCATTACTGTTGTCAAGTTCACTGTTTAGGATTTTGTTTTATTTTTCTGTTGTTTCCATTGTTTTAGAATATAGAATTTAATCGAAGCATTCCCTGTGGGATCGACCCTTGCTTACCCTATATACAATTCAGTAGTTAGGTTAGGAAGGTTATTAATTTGGTGCATTCGGCACGCTACCAAATTTTGGCGTTGTTGCCGGGGAGTGGTATTTGTCGATTTTTTTCTTATGTTCTACGTTTTTTTGTTATTTTGTTTAATTAGTGCTTAGTTGTGGTTTTTTTTTTATTTTTTTTAATTGTGATTTTTAGGTTTTTGAAGAAAAAAAAAAAAGAAAAAGAAAAAAAAGAATTGAACAGTAGCACTATTCAACATGAACAGTAGTACTATTCAGTACTATCCTAAGAGAAATTTTGGTTGAATTAGGAGTGCTGCGAGTACACATTTCGAAGAAAATGACATTTTGAGCAAGACTAGTGGTAGCGTGCCGAATGCTCCAAATTAATAACCTTCCTAACCTAACTACTGAATTGTATATAGGGTAAGCAAGGGTCGATCCCACAGGGAATGCTTCGATTAAATTCTATGCTCTAAAACAATGAAAACAACAGAAAAATAAAATAAAACCCTAAATGGTAAACATGACAATAGTAATGAAAGGGGGTTGTAGTCAAGGAAAACTAAAGTAAAACAAAGAAATCTCTAATGGTAGAAAATATCAGGTTAAAAGCAATCAATTCTCGGTTCAAGATCCACCTAAACATGCATTGGTCATGAACTAACCGTAACACTATTCTATCTCGTTATTATGAAACTACTGACCCTAGGAAACAGCAAGCTCTATTACCCGAATTTTCCCTTAATTGTCACTACTAAAATAAGCTCTCCAAGTAGATCCCAACCCTTGAACAACCTAGAATAAGCTCTCTAAGTTTAATTCAATGGCAGCCTTAAGAATTAGGAAAATAGATCAATCTAAGCAACAATCTCGCAAGCTTGGATTATTTAACTTAGGTTATGTTATTCAAGACGACAGATTGAAAACTTGTCCATAATCATCTATCATTATGTGTTACTCATTGAATAGAAATAGGACAATTACGTATCATAATTCCTAATTCTAACAGACAAAATTCCGATTAAACAATTCAGCAGGCCATTACTAAATCACTTAAACAAAAAATTATAAACAATTAAAACAGAATAACATAAACAATTCCAATAAAAACGAGATTGAGAACAATGTTACTGAAGTTAAGTTACACCAATGACATGAATTCAGGCTTCAAAATCCCCTTCAACTGAAGAAGAAAGATCAGCCTCACATCTTGACGTAGAATAATAAAAGAAAACCGAAAAAACTAAAAACTACTGCTGTCTCTTCTCCCCCTTTTTAACCTAACAACTCATCAATAAATAACATGTGTTTTCCTTAATTCTACCCCAGGAATCACGGAAATTTCTTTCCTAGATCTTTGCTAAAAGATACCAAAATTGTCAAAATCTTATCAGATATGGAAAACAGAATTCGTCTCCAGCTTGCACCAGGATTCTCGCAATGTAAAAGAACTTTTCTGGGCTCGGTCACTCATAAAAGTTGTATCCCTGCACGTTTAGATGAATCTGGGCTTTTGAATACTCGCTTTCGATATCTGACGCTCCAGTTAGGCCCGTTCGAAGATTCAATACTCAGCCAGGAATCCTTCCGCGACTAGGATTCTAGGTTCGGTTTTGCAACTACTAATGAGGAGCCAAACGAACTCGGATTCTCATCCATAATACCTTCTTGGAAAGCTTGATTCGTCTACTTTACTTTTCCTGAAGAACCCTTTTGCAATCGAGAAGTCTGACTCCATGAAAATCCTAAAAAACGCAGCACTAGTCAGAATAACAAAAATTCTGGAATTTCCTAATTTTTATCTTTTATTTCCTAAAGTCAATCCAACTATGCCAAACTCACAAAATAAACTCTAATCAACTCAAATAGGCATAAAACATAACAAAAACATAATATGGAAGGAATAAAAATATATAAATTACACTCTTATCAACTAGAAAAAGTTTCTAGCCCTACCCTCTCGTTCTCAAATTCGATCATTTGATAGGGTTTTTGGCCAATTTTCGCCGCTGTCAAGAAAAAATTTTATTTTTTTCATTTTTTTTATTTTTTTATTTTTTGTATTATTTTTTTTTATTTATTTAGGCTTAATTTGGTGATTTTAGTGGTTTATGACTCGATCCAATTCTACAGGAGAGTTGGAATTTGATCCAGAAATCAAATGCAGTTTACGGAAGTTGCGAAAAGAGGCACGTCAAGCAAGTTCTTCATCTCTTGGTCTCAATATAGCCCTTGGTTCAGCATCCCATAGTTCATCCAGTGATCCAGATTCAGAGTTAGAAGAAGAGATGGTCGCTGGTAGAACATTAAAGGAGTTGGCTGCCCCTGATTTTAATCAGCAGCCTTTGTGTATTCAGTACCCTACTTCGGATGTTGCTTTTGAACTTAAGTCTGGTCTAATCCAGTTGCCTACGTTTCGTGGTCGTGCAGGTGAAGATCCGAATAAACATCTAAAAGAATTCCATGTAGTCTGTTCAAGCATGAAACCGACTGGGGTGACAGAGGAGAAGATTAAGTTGCGAGCTTTTCCCTTTTTGTTGAGGGATGATGCAAAGGATTGGCTCTATTATCTACCATCGGGGACAGTCGCAACATGGAACGCGATGAAAAGGCTGTTTTTAGAAAGATATTTCCCAGACTCCAAAGCTGCCACCATCAGGAAAGAGATATGTGGTATAAGGCAATATAATGGGGAGACATTGTATGAATATTGGGAGCGATTCAAGAAGCTATGTGCAAGCTGTCCTCACCACCAGATAAGTGATCAATTGTTAATCCAGTATCTTTATGAAGGATTGTTGCCTATGGAAAGAAACATGATAGATGCAGCAAGTGGAGATGCGTTGGTGGATAAGACTCCTAAAGCTGCCAAACAATTAATCTCAAACATGGCTGCCAACTCCCAACAGTTTTGTACAAGACATGATGCACCACCCAAAAGGGTGAATGAGGTAAGTACATCTTCCATTGAACAACAATTATCTGATCTTACCTCTCTTGTTAGACAGTTGGCTGTAGGGAATGTGCAACAGGTGAAAGCTTGTGGGATATGTTCGACAATGGGACACCAAACGAACATGTGCCTAACACTTTAAGAGGAAGGGACTAAGCAAGTCAATGCAGCGGGAAACTTTCCTAGACCACCAAGGCAGTATGATCCTTACTCCAACACGTACAATCCAGGTTGGAGGGATCATCCGAATTTCAGTTATGGAGGAAATAGACAAGTAGGAGGTGGACAGAATTTCTTCCAGAATAGACAACAAGGATTTCAACCGAAGCAACCTGCCTCATAGAATTCAAACTCATCCGTGGAAGATATAGTGAAGTCCTTTGCTTTGAATACCAAACAGTTTCAACAAGATACAAGATCTAGTATTCAAAGTTTGGAGAATCAGATGGGTCAAATGGCAACTGCTATAAGTCATTTAGAGGCTCAAGTTGAAGGGAAGTTGCCTTCTCAAATAGTAGTGAACCCAAAGGAAAATGTGAATGCAATAACGCTAAGAAGTGGCAAGAAAGTGGAAGAACCGAAGCTGAACATTCTAAGTGTAGCAAAGGAAGCAGAAATTGAAGATGAAATTGGGAGAAAAGAGGCTACAACTGAATCAAAGGTAATTCCTAACCCTTCAATTCAACTTCCGTCTAATACTTTACCTTTTCCTAGCAGATTCGCGAAGTCAAAGAAAGAAGAGAAGGATAAAGAGATTTTGGAGATGTTTCACAAGGTGGAAGTGAATATACCTCTATTGGATGCAATTAAGCAAGTGCCAAGGTATGCAAAATTTCTGAAAGAGCTGTGCACCAATAAGCGGAAGTTGAACGGTGATGAGAAGATAATAATGGGAGAAAATGTGTCAGTAACTTTCCAAAGAAAACTTCCTCCCAAGTGCAAGGATCCAGGTATGTTTACAATTCCTTGTAAGATAGGTAACACCAGAATTGAGAGAGCTATGTTAGATTTAGGAGCTTCGATTAATGTTATGCCAAGATCTATTTATGCTTCATTAAATCTAGGTCCTGTGAAAGATACTGGTGTTATTATCCAATTGGCTGATCGTACTAATGCATACCCTGAAGGGGTAGTTGAAGATGTTCTTGTACAAGTCAATGAGTTGGTGTTTCCGGCTGATTTTTACATTCTGGATATGGATGATTCTTCGTCTCCTGATCCTACACCTATCTTACTGGGAAGACCATTCCTAAATACAGCTCAGACAAAAATAGACGTTCATGATGGTACCCTCACGATGGAATTTGATGGTGAAGTAATTCGTTATAATATTTTTGATGCCATGAAATATCCAACTGATGTTCAGTCTATTTTTGCTATTGATGTTGTTGATTCCATAGTATAAGAGATTTTTGAGTTAAATAATGTAGATGAGTTAGAGGTGGCCCTTCTCAAACATGTGGAATGAGAGGAGAAATGAGAGATAGAGCTCAGTGAAGAATTGAAGGAGACAGTGGCAGCTTTACGTTCTTTAAAACCGAGTCCAGAAAGGTATGGAGTTTCTTTTATAAAGCTGCCTAATTCTCACTAGAAATTATTGCCTTCTATTTTGCAGGTCCCTACACTGGAGTTGAAGCCATTACCGTGCCATTTAAAGTATGTGTACTTGGGAGAGAATGAGACACTGTCGGTAATTGTGTCGAACAAGTTAACACCCAATCAAGAAGAGAAACTAGTTCGAATGTTGCAAGAGCATAAGGAAGTGATTGGCTGGACCATAGCTGACATTAAGGGGATTAGTCCTTCCATATGCATGCATCGGATTTTGCTTGAAGAAGGTGCCAAACCGACACGGGAAGCGCAACGTAGATTAAATACCCCAATGATAGATGTGGTGGTAAAAGAAGTCCTAAAGCTTTTAGATGCAGGGGTAATTTATCCGATTTTCGACAGTAAGTGGGTAAGTCCAGTGCAAGTTGTCCCCAAGAAATCTGGTATTACAGTGGTGAAAAATCAAGACAATGAGTTGTTCCTACACGTGTTCAGACAAGCTGGCGTGTGTGCATTGATTACAGGAAGTTGAACTCAACAACTCGAAAATATCATTTTCCACTTCCCTTTATTGATCAAATGCTTGATAGGTTAGCTAGTCATGTTTATTACTGTTTTCTTGAGGGATTTTTAGGGTATAACCAAATTTTCATAGCACTGGAGGATCAAGAGAAGATGACATTCACATGCCCATTTAGTACCTTTGCCTATCGCCAAATACCGTTTGGTCTCTACAATGCTCCAGCCATATTCCAGCGATGTATGGTAAGTATTTTTTCAAAATATGTTGAGTCAATTATAGAGGTGTTTATGGATGATTTTAGTGTTTTTGGTGATTCATTTGATCAATGCCTGCATAACCTTACACTAATTCTAGACAGATGCATGGAAACTAACCTTGTACTTAACTGGGAAAAATGTCATTTTATGGTAGAGCAAGGTATAGTTTTGGGGCATATTGTTTCATCCAAGGGAATAGAGGTTGATAAGTCTAAGATAGATTTGGTTACAGCTTTACCTTACCCCACCAACGTGCGGGAAGTTCGATCTTTTCTTGGCCATGTAGGTTTCTATAGGAGATTTATCAAGGACTTTTAAAAAATCGCACTACCCCTATACAGATTGTTACAAAAAGATGTGGATTTTTAGTTTGATGAGAAGTGCAAGGAGGCATTCGACAAGTTAAAGACATTATTGACAACAGCACCAGTGATACAACTACCCAATTGGGATCTACCTTTCGAAATTATGTATGATGCGAGCAACTATGCATTAGGTGTTGTCTTGGGTCAAAGAGTTGGCAGAGCGTGTCACGCCATTTATTATGCATCTAGGACCTTGAATGGTGCCCAACTCAATTATTCTATGACTGAAAAAGAACTTTTATCTATTGTTTTTGCTTTAGAAAAATTTTGGTCATATTTGTTGGTAATAAAGTCATTTCTTTTCTGATCATGTAGCTCTTAGGTACTTGCTCACAAAGAAGGAGGCAAAACCAAGGCTAATTAGATGGATTCTTCTACTCCAGGAATTTGATTTGCAGATTAAAGATAAAAAGGGAGCAAAGAATGTTGTAGCAGATTACCTTAGTCGTTTGGTTCGTGACAGCAATCAGCTTCCTTTGTGAGAAACATTTCCAGATGAGCAATTGTTTTCCATTGAAATGGCGTCACCATGGTATGCAGATATTGTCAATTTTTACTAACGTGTTGCCAAGTGATTTGACTAGAGCTCAAAAGGACAAGATCAAGAGTGATGCTAAGTATTATGCTTGAGACGATCCATATCTGTGGAAGCATTGTGCTGACCAAGTGATAAGAAGGTGCGTATCTGAACATGACTTTATTCCTATTTTAACCTTCTGTAATACCTATGCATGTGGAGGACATTTTGGACCACAAAGGACAGCTCATAAGGTATTAGAATGTGGTTTTTATTGGCCATCATTGTTCAAGGATGCCTACATGTTTTGTAAGTCATGTGATAATTGCCAAAGAGTAGGAAACATTTCTCGTAGAGCTCAAATGCCACAATCTCCTATATTTATTATTGAAATTTTTGATGTTTGGGACATTGATTTTATGGGTCCATTTCCTGTTTCCTTTGGTAATGTTTATATTCTGTTAGTTGTTGATTATGTTTCCAATGGGTGGAGGCAAAAGCCACCAGAACTGACACTTCAAATGTTGTTGCAGATTTTGTTAAAACTAACATTTTTGTCAGGTTTGGGATACCAAGGGCCATAATCAGTGATAAGGGTAGTCATTTTTGCAACAGGATAATAGAGGCACTACTTAAGAAATACCATGTCACACACAAGGTCTCCACATCGTACCACCCACAAACCATTGGCTAAGCGGAGGTGTCAAATAGAGAGATCAAGTCAATTTTGGAAAAGACAGTGAACCCAAACAAGAAGGATTGGTCTTTGAGATTAGACGATGCATTATGGGTATATAGAACAGCATATAAGACACCTATTGGCATGTCCCCATACATATTAGTGTTCGGTAAGCCATGTCATCTTCCAGTAGAATTAGAGCACAAGGCTTATTGGGCAATCAAGCATTGCAATATGGAGATGAAGGAAGCTGGTGTTAATAGGAAGTTACAATTGCAAGAACTTGAGGAGTTGAGGAATGATGCCTACGAGAGTTCATACATCTACAAGACAGAGACTAAAGCCTTTCATGACAAGATGATCTTAAGGAAGCATTTTTCAGTTGGACAGAAAGTCCTTCTTTTTCATTCAAGGCTGAAGTTATTTCTGGGTAAGTTACGTTCTCATTGGGTGGGACCTTTTATTGTGACTAATGTTTTTCATCATGGTGCAGTAGAAATCCAAAGTTTGCAAACAAACAAGGTGTTTAAGGTCAATTGACATAGGCTTAAACCTTACTATGAAGGGTTCCAAGTTTGCAATATTGAGGAGGTGGGATTGGAGGAGTCGATACATGAGTAGTGAAGACGACGCATAGAGTCGGGAGTCCCCCTCAGGTGGTTCCACCAGAAACCACACTTGGTTCTGGTACATGGAGTCCATCTCAGATTTCATGGCTTTAAGCCATTAACAGAATCTGGATCTGATATAGCATCTTCGTAGGTTCTGGGTTCATCGTCTTGGTAGACTAGTACGTCACCATGTTGAGTCATGAGATAACCATATCTCTCGGGCTCATGGCGTACTCTCTCGGATCTACGTAGCTCTTGTGCTACCTAAGGTGGTTCACTTTGATCCACAAGTTATGGAGTATCCTTCTCATGATGCTCAACCACTTCCTGTGGCACATCATCCCATCCTTCGTCTAATATATCTTGTGGTTCTAGAACTTCATCGAGTCCTACTTTTCTCCCACTAGTACTTCTTAGAAAATATTCCTTTTCTAGGAAGACACCAGATCGAGCAACAAAAATTTTGTGCTCTTTTGGGTGGTAGAAATAGTATCCTTTGGTCTCCTTCGGATACCCCACAAATATACATTTACAGGATTTTGGGCCTAGCTTGTTCGAAGTCAATTTCTTAACATAAGCTTCGCAACCCCAAATCCTTAGATAAGACAAGTTGGGCTTTCGTGCACTCCATAGCTCATATGGAGTCTTATCTACAGACTTTGATAGCACACGGTTCAAAACGTGAGTCGTAGTCTCTAAGGCATAATACAGGTAAATCACTAAAACTCATCATGGACCTAACCATGTCAAGTAAGGTCTTGTTCCTCCTTTTAGACACTCCATTGTGTTGGGGTGTATAAGGAGGGGTGAGTTGTGATACTGTCCCATATTCCTTCGAGTACTCTAAAAACCCTGAGCTGAAGTGTTCACCTCCTCGATCCGACTGAAGAGCTTTAATACTTTTGCCCAACATATTCTGTACTTCATTCCCGAATTCTTTGAATTTATCAAAGGCTTCAGATTTATGTCTCATAAGGTAGACATAACCATATCTACTGAAATCATCAGTAAATGTGATGAAGTATGAATATCCACCTCTGGCCTCAATTGTTAGTGGACCACATACATCACTATGGATGATGCCTAACAGCTCAGTAGCCCTTTCACCTTGTCCTGTGAAAGGAGACTTGGTCATCTTGCCTAACAGGCATGACTCGCATACCTCAAATGACTGAAAGTCAAAAGGGTCCAAAACTCCATCCCTTTGAAGTCAAATTTTGGCGTTGTTCCGGGAGTGGTATTTGTCGATTTTTTTCTTATGTTCTACGTTTTTTTGTTTTTTTGTTTAATTAGTGCTTGTTGTGGTTTTTTTTTTATTTTTTTAATTGTGATTTTTGGTTTTTGAGAAGAAAAAAAAAAAGAAAAGAAAAAAAAGAATTGAACATTAGCACTATTCACATGAACAGTAGTACTATTCAGTACTATCCTAAAGAATTTTGGTTGAATGGAGTGCTGCGAGACACACTTTCGAAGAAAATGACATTTTGAGCAAGACAGTGGTAGGTGCCGAATGCTCAATTTAATAACCTTCCTAACCTAACTACTGAATTGTATATGGTAAGCAAGGGTCGATCCCACAGGGAATGCTTCGATTAAATTCTATGCTCTAAACAATGAAACAACAGAAAAATAAAATAAACCCTAATGGTAAACATGACAATAGTATGAAGGGGGTTTAGTCAAGGAAACTAAAGTAAACAAGAAATCTCTATGGTAGAAAATCAGGTTAAAAGCAATCATTCTCGGTTCAAGATCCACCTAAACAGGCATTGCATGAACTAACCGTAACACATTCTATCTCGTATTAGAAACTACTGACCCTAGGAACACACAGCTCTATTACCCAATTTTCCCTTATTGTCACACTAACATAACTCCAAGTAGATCCCAACCCTTGAACAACCTAGAAAAGCTCTCTAAGTTTTTCAATGGCAGCCTTAAGAATTAGGAAAAGATCAATCTAAGCAACAATCTCGCAAGCTTGGATTATTTACTTAGGTTATGTTATTCAAGACACAGATTGAAAACTTGTCCAAATCATCTATCATTATGTGTTACTCATTGAATAGAAATGGACAATTACGTATCAATTCCTATTCTAACAGACAAAATTCCGATTAAACAATTCAGCAGGCCATTACTAAATCACTTAAACAAAAATTAAACAATTAAACAGAATAACAAAACAATTCCAATAAAAACGAGATTGAGAACAATGTTACTGAAGTTAAGTTACACCAAGACATGATTCAGGCTTCAAAATCCCCTTCAACTGAAAGAAAGATCAGCCTACATCTTGACGAGAATAATAAAGAAACCGAAAATAAAAACTACTGCTGTCTCTTCTCCCCCTTAACCTAACATCATCAATAATAACAGTGTGTTTCCTAATTCTACCCCAGGAATCACGGAAATTTCTTTCCTAGATCTTTGCTAAAAGATACCAAAATTGTCAAAATCTTATCAGATATGAAAAACAGAATTCGTCTCCAGCTTGCACCAGGATTCTCGCAATGTAAAAGACTTTTCTGGGCTCGTGTCACTCATAATTGTATCCTGCACGTTTAATGAATCTGGGCTTTTGAATACTCGCTTTCGATATCGGACGCTCCAGTTAGGCCCGTTCGAAGATTCATACTCAGCCAGAATCCTTCCGCGCTAGGATTCTAGGTCGGTTTGCAACTACATAGGAGCCAAACGAACTCGGATTCTCATCCATAATACCTTCTTGAAAGCTTGATTCTTCTACTTTACTTTTCCTGAAGACCTTTTGCAATCGAGAATCTGACTCCATGAAATCCTAAAAACGCACACTAGTCAGAATAACAAAAATTCTGGAATTTCCTAATTTTTATCTTTTTTTCCTAAAGTCAATCCACTATGCCAAACTCCAAAATAAACTCTAATCAACTCAAATAGGCATAAAACATAACAAAAACATAATATGGAAGGAATAAAATATATAATTACACTCTTATCAACTAGAAAAGAGTTCTACCCTACCCCTCGTTCTCAAATTCATCATTTGATAGGGTTTTTGGCCAATTTTCGCCGCTGTCAAGAAAAATTTTATTTTTTCATTTTTTTTTATTTTTTATTTTTTGTATATTTTTTTATTTTAGGCTTAATTTGGTGATTTTAGTGGTTTATGACTCGATCCAATTCTACAGGAGAGTTGGAATTTGATCCAGAAATCAAATGCAGTTTACGAAGTTGCGAAAAGAGGCACGTCAAGCAAGTTCTTCATCTCTTGGTCTCAATATAGCCCTTGGTTCAGCATCCATAGTTCATCCGTGATCCAGATTCAGAGTTGAAAGAAGAGATGCGCTGGTAGAACATTAAAGGTTGGCTCCCCCTGATTTAATCGCAGCCTTGTGTTATTCATTACCCTACTTCGGATGTTGCTTTTGAACTTAAGTCTGGTCTAATCCAGTTGCCTACGTTTCGTGGTCGTGCAGTTGAGGATCCGAATAACACATCTAAAGAATTCCATGTAGTCTGTTCAAGCATGAAACCGACTGGGGTGACAGAGGAAAGATTAAGTTGCGAGCTTTTCCCTTTTTGTTGAGGGATGATGCAAAGGATTGGCTCTATTATCTACCATCGGGACAGTCGCAACATGGAACGCGATGAAAGCTGTTTTTAGAAAGATATTCCCAGACTCCAAAGCTGCACCATCAGGAAAGAGATATGTGGTATAAGGCATAAAATGGGGAGACATTGTATGAAATTGGGAGCGATTCAAGAAGCTATGTGCAAGCTGTCCTCACCACCAGATAAGTGATCAATTGTTAATCCATTATCTTATGAAGATTGTTGCCTATGGAAAGAAACATGATAGATGCAGCAAGTGGAGATGCGTTGGTGGATAAGACTCCTAAAGCTGCCAAACAATTAATCTCAAACATGGCTGCCAACTCCCACATTTTTGTACAGACATGATGCACCACCCAAAAGGGTGAATGAGGTAAGTACATCTTCCATTGAACAACAATTATCTGATCTTCCCTCTCTGTTAGCCAGTTGGCTGTAGGGAATTGCAACGGTGAAAGCTTGTGGGATATTTTCGACATGGGACACCAAACGAACATGTGCCTAACACTTTAAGAGGAAGGGACTAAGCAAGTCAATGCAGCGGAAACTTTCCTAGACCACCAAGGCAGTATGATCCTTACTCCAACCGTACAATCCAGGTTGGAGGGATCATCCGAATTTCAGTTATGGAGGAAATAGACAAGTAGGAGGTGACAGAATTTCTTCCAGAATAGCCAACAAGGATTTCAACCGAAGCAACCTGCCTCATAGAATTCAAAACTCATCCTGGAAGATATAGTGAAGTCCTTTGCTTGAATACCAACATTTCAAAGATACAAGATCTATTCAAAGTTTGGAGAATCAGATGGGTCAAATGGCAACTGCTATAAGTCATTTAGAGGCTCAAGTTGAAGGGAAGTTGCCTTCTCAATAGTAGTGAACCCAAAGGAAAATGTGAATGCAATAACGCTAAGAAGTGGCAAGAAAGTGGAGAACCGAAGCTGAACATTCTAAGTGTAGCAAAGAAGCAGAATTGAAGATAATTGGGAGAAAAGAGGCTACAACTGAATCAAAGGTTTCCTAACCCTTCAATTCAACTTCCGTCTAATACTTTACCTTTTCCTAGCAGATTCGCGAAGTCAAAGAAAGAAGAGAAGGATAAAGAGATTTTGGAGATGTTTCACAGGTGAAGATGAATAACCTCTATTGGATGCAATTAAGCAAGTGCCAAGGTATGCAAAATTGAAAGAGCTGTGCACCAATAAGCAAGTTGAACGGTGTGAGAGATAATATGGGAGAAAATGTGTCAGTAACTTCCAAAGAAAACTTCCTCCCAAGTGCAAGGTCCAGGTATGTTTACAATTCCTTGTAAGATAGGTAACACCAAAATTGAGA